TGTAGTTTTCAAACCAATATGTAATGATGATCAAGATATAAAATATATTTATTATTAATGAAAATAGGTTCTGTTGAGATTGTGTATAAGTTAATAATATTATAATGCATAAGTATGCATTGAAAATATAATAGTAATCTGTAGAATTAATATTATAAAATGTAACAATATTATATAATCATAGATTATGAGAAGAAAAATAACTTTTTTTATTCAACCATTTCTTTGAATATTTAACAAAAAAAACCAGGTGGTTTCAATAAGTTACGTTATAAATGGACATGGTTAAAAATTTTATATTTTGTTTAAGCTAGCAGAATTAAATAAAATAAATAGTATATTTTAGTAAATAAAATAAACGAACTCCTATAATTCGACTAAAACCTCCTAGAATGTTCTGTAAATTGTATTTGTTGTATATAAACCTTTTTAATTTACTATGACACATAATTACTTAATATAAATATTTGATACAGGTTATTAAACTATGGTACATCGTACATATTATTAAAGTTTGTTTTGTTAAAGTAAATGGTTGACACATTTAATTAAATTAAATCAACCACAAGTTATATTTTATTATACTGTATTAGTTTTTTTAATTTGTATAACTAGGTAATGGTGTGTAGATTTAAAATATAATTCTGCTCCACCAGTAAAATAAAACACGTGTGTTGTATCAGTGTTTCAGCCATAAAATAACCGTATCCATAATCAAATCATTTCCATAATGTGAATGTGTGTTTAATCCTGGAGCTTAATATATATTATGTTACCATGCTACATTATACAGTATAATATACATTATAAATCGTATTTGAATAGATAATTAGTAAAAAACTTTTTAAGTTGAAATAATAATATCAAGTTAATAAATAATACAGGTTTTTTTAAATAAAATACTATTAATCCTTATCCATTATATGGCAAGTCGTCTTAGATAACACATAATATAAAACAATTTTTTTTCCAATAGTAATTTGAAATTGAACACGATATCATATTATAGGTATTTCACGCAACATTATTGACAACGTACATTAATTTGAATACGAATTCGTTAAAGTTAATTGAAATGAAATATTTATAAGTCAGAATTTTTAACCATACAAACATCCAAATCTTTTTTTGGTTATCTACAAAAGAAATGATTCTTCAAATCCATTTTTTTCTTTGAAAAAAATCAAGGATATTAATCGGCATAAAAGTTTTTCGTTGAAAATTACATGTAAAGTATAATTTAAAATGTGCATTTTATTTGAATATTTTCTTTTGGCCTATTGTTGACATCAACTGCTTGCAAAATGCATAATTTTGAATTATCTATTCAAAGTTCACGAAAACAATTTCAGTTATGTTCCAAGTATTATAATATCATCATAATTGTGGTTTATTATATGTTTATTTATTCATAAATTTACCTATATTATATAATTTTACATATTATAGCCGATAGGTATTATAAATATTCAAACTGAAACCTACATAATTATATAAAAATTAGATTTAATTGTATTATATTATAATATTATATGTTTGACAATATAATCATAAAGTAAGCATTATTTCAAATAGCTTGGATTATTTTAATAATAAACATGTATTTATATTATATTATCAAAACATAGTCAAAAAAAAAAGGAAATATTAAGTACTGGAATTTTATTATTTCAAAAATTAGGAAAGATCGTATAATAATTATGAAAGTTTACACTTTTACAGTTAGATATTTCACTTATACAGAGTTTGCATTAAAAAAAAAAAAATTTACTGGCGTAGCTTGACACCCATTATAATTAAATCATAATATTATTTTAAATCATAATTCACTTGTAATTAGTAGGAAAATGGGAATTCTGTGGCTTTTATCATTTTATTTCTACAATAATTGATAAATAAATTGATTTTAGAGTAATGTGTGGTTGTTTTTTTTTCTGGAGACAATTCTTATAGTAAAAAGATGCTTTTATTTACAAATTTTGAGTGTTGTTTCAAGTTTGTTATCTATGATTATCATTTAAATGAAATTTAACATATACATTACATTTGAGTAAGACGGTATTTTGCAATACCTATACATCATACCAGCTCTATATTTGTTAGTTATTCACAGTTTTGACATGAGGAGTTTGAAGCAAGTCACCATTCGATTGGCGATGACAGTTTTTATACGCGCCAAACTCCAGCTTATACCATGATAAAATTGAGCAGTTCAAATTCACATGTAAGTCTACTTGTACTTACTCAGACCTCTATACGTACTGACCTCGTCACTATTTGGACAAAAACCCATGACTCATCTACGTGCAGATAATTTCACAGGGTAGGATTACAATTACACCACACTACATATAAATATATATTATATATCCAATAATAATGTAGATTGAGGAAAACACCAAACGCGTGGTTGTGATTCATGTTATGTGACAAGTATAGATACCTTTTTATGGCGGTTCTCGCCGGATGGGAGGTATTTATTGGGTCCGTTTGGATATCTGCTGCAAAGGATATTGCGCACTGCGAATTGACAATTCGGGATTTAAATATTAATGCGACGATTCTGTTCGCTCCGGTGCTCTGCAGTTATATATAGGATCATAATCGGCTTTTACCTATCAATAACGGAATAACACGTTCATATCAGAGCAAACCATTTTTTACACCATTATTAAATTGAACTTTAAGCTATCTGTATATGTTCACATTATTTTTTTTATAGTAACGTACCTAGGAGTATTGAAATTATATTCAAGCAATCTAAATTAAATACGCAGGAATGGACCTACATTTTCAATATTAAACAACTAATTGTTTTAATTGCAACAATAGATTGAAATTATTATAGACGAATAATATGATATGTTATTTCAAATGGATTATCACATTTATAAATACCAATATTAGTATATTATATGATTTAAATGACTTTCTTCGTAGATAACTCAAAAGGTTATACTCATGGTCAGTACCTATGTATATTGTATAATAACTATCGAGATAATGAATACAATTTCATATTAACTCATACTATAGGTACCATCCTACTTTTAATTTGTATAAGTTACAAATAAAATGGTTGTACACTCTTATCTTTATGAAATAGATTATTTAGGTGTATAAGTGTAGACAATGTATTTAATTATGTGAAGAAAAACTCATTGAAACGCCTGAATCATTTTAAAATTTGAATATTTAGCAGAACCCTATATTATTTGAATTCTGTATATAAGCAGACTGGACTATTATGGCTTTTTAGATTTTTAGTTTGAATTTGGTCGATAATTAGGATCGGAAAGAGAACAAAGTAGATGTAGTCTGGAATTATCTCATCTTTTTTTTTAAGTTTAAGGTAACAAATTTAAGATTTAAGTCAGGTGCTTGTCAAAAAATAAGCCTAGGTATTTGGCTTCAAATACAGTAGAAGTTATATTATTGTTAAGTTTGATTGACATGTTTGATTCACCCCCCCCCCCCTTACATACTATATCAAATTTAATTATTTTGTGGTGTGAAAGCCGAGTAGTATGATCTGCATTTATGTATTAATACACCTTTGTTGAAATTCACTGTCATAAATACTTTGTATGCAGCCTTAAATTAGATATACTAGTTGTTGCTCGAACTTCGTTTGAACGGTGTAAGTACTGTAATATCAAAAAACCGATCAAAACCTATAAGTCGATAATATTGTTTACTAAATGAGTTGACGTCGATGGTGACTTTTTTGGTATACCTGTTCTAATACCGAAATATCGGTATACTATTTCAAAACCATCAAATAATATTGTATGGGTCTTTAGTTAAAAAACATTTAATGTATTACTAGGAGACTCAACCCTGAAGAGAACCAGAGCATTTAATGTTCCTTAGAAAACAAAATTAAATAGTTAAGCTGATAAAATGTTAAAGGGATAAACTACTAGTTTAAGCAAAATTGTAGGTACATTTTATTCAACTATTAACTATAACGGCTTATGTAACCAGAGTTTATTTTAGATAAATAAAAAATGTATATTATATTTATATTTTTAATTTAAAGGGGTAGTTTAGTGTTGACGCATAAAACATTAACATAATATTCAAAATTATAATATATTATAGGATGAGATTTTGTTATGAACGCCATACTTAAAATACACATATATTATGATGACAAGTACTTAATACGTGTTTATGATAATGTAACGTACCTATAGAGAATTATTTCCCGTAACACATTTTCGGTAGCAGATTTGTTGTATATAATATAATATTTATTATATTTACTGATTGTGGATAAAAAGAACGAATGAGTATACGAATCGGAAGACGAATGTTGACAGAATACTGTGTACAACTGTAGCTCCAGATAGAATGTATTGTTTATTGTTAATATTAGACGGCACCTATATATACCTATGTATAAACAATACAAACTGCGATAACCATAAAAAACTATACAGACTAGGAGGACACACTGTCTGTGTAAACTAAAGTAACCCAAATGATAAATCGAGGTGTTTTTTGCTATCGTACACTTTTAAGGTTTTCTAATGATACATTTTAAATTGAAATATGATAAAACAGATTTCAAAGAAAAAACATGAATGGTAAATATCTGGTATAGTAATACAACTTGTTTATGGTTCGTTTCGGGGATGGGTTACTTATAGATTATAAATAGTTTTTTAATTTTATAAAAAAATAATGTCTTTAATTTGTCTCTTAGCTAGAATTTAGGAATTTAAACCATCACTGCTTAAAGACAATTGATTTGATTATGTTATTTAAACATGCCATTTTACCCTGACTGGTAAATAGTAAATAACTTGTAATTCACAACCTACTATACTTTATTTTTTATTTTTATTTTCGACTGGTAAAATATTAAAATATTATTCCAAATATATTCTAAATAATACATTGTAAATATATATACATGTGATTTTTATATTGCTCTCAGTGATTATATTATAACTATGATTGTATTTTTTTTACAATTTTTTTTTTCATTTCAGGAAATACGGCAGCAATAAGTAAGTACCTACGGATGTTATTTTAAAGCTATTATCATAAAGAAATGAAGCTTACTAACAATAATAAATTGCATTCTCTGTTGCTTACTTTTGACCTTATTATTAAAGATTAAACAAAATTGAATGCTTCGTAAATTAAAATAGAGGTAAACTGTTACAAGTAGGTATTTTACATAAATTAATAAGTGTCCATAGTTTGTGATTTTCAGTGTATACAAATGGATGGTTAAATTATTTTTAATTAATAATTATAAACTTAATTTCTTTATTATGCAATAAACATTTAATATTTAACTAGAAATAAAATTGAGTATTTACATTATATTATTATTTTCAAAATTGTCAGTGTTATATTTTTATTGTCTGTTTAAACTTTTATAAAAAAAAAAAAACAGTTCATTTTTTAAGTCGATGTAATGTATAAAATATAATTTCGTAACGATTCGGTCCATGCGACGTAATAGTGGTTAAACCGTGCTGTCAAAACATGTTTCCGTATTTCATCGTTTATGACTCGTAGAAGCAGAATTAATTTTTTTATTTTAAATAGAACGATATGTATTTTATCTCCATTTTTTTTTAGTGAGAATATTTATCTTATTTTATACTTCGTTATTCACAATTGAATATGTGATAATTTTTGTTTTAGCATAAGTTATACAGGATGTAAAGTACATAAAAAAAATGTCACAAAATACAGATAAGGTTTATTATAGTACTATCTAGAAAAAATTGTGATTTATTTTTATTTTACGAGTCAAAATACACCAAAAACAAACAAAATATTATGGAAGTGTATTTATTTTATTTTTTAAATTTTCTAAACAAACAGCAATCAAATAGTAGTTATGACTTACGTCATACATTTCTTAACAATACCATTGAAATAAAATAGTGTTATTTCACAAGTGTGTTGTTGACTGTTGTGTTATTGCAGATACCAAGAGCCAACCACATATATTTTTTTTTAAATATGCATTTTAGTAGATTTTAAGTCTTCATTGTTTTCATCGTAATGAACACAGATAATTAATAATGTAAGCACGGATAACGCAGTAAAAAGTACAATTTTAAACTACTTTCATTTATTTATTATACATTTGACACACCGTTTAGTCTAATACTTTTTAGAGACATAAAATGTTTAGGATAAAAAACTGTATGTCTCCGAGATACCAAAAGTTCTCTGTGTTTGTACGAGTGTATGCGAAAACGCAATTATTACAAGACTAATTAATTAGTTCAAATATGACGAACAAAATAATTATGATATGTGGCGCTAAGTACTTTACTACTACGCACTTATAAAATATATGATTAAAAATTGATAACCATGTGACTCAGCAGTGAGTGTTGCACAAAAACGTCGAGTCCCTGCATAATTTAATACGATGATAGTAACAATATTATGTAGTTTAACGAATAATGTAAGTTGTTTGGTCTTACAGCACGCATGAACTTCATTGCCATGGGGTTTACGACCGTTTTCCTTACCGTACCAGTGATGGTTGAGATAAATTCCGACGAAATCCGTTTCTTCACGAATAATGTGTGTGGACAAGTTGAATTGATTATGTTAACTGTAAAAAACTGCCAAAAAGTGGGTCGTCTTTGGACGAACATACTTACAGGGCCAGCACATTAATAAACAGGCACTTTATATACATGTGTGTTAGTAAGTAGGTACACATTTCCATACCCCGAGCAGCGTTGTTAATTATTTACATGTCGCGAAGTACTCTAAATAAAGCGTTGGCCTGGAAGTGCCGTTTAAGACGAAATTTCTTTTCGGATACAAAACGCTCTCCCAGTGGCCACCCATGCAAGGATCGTTGCACAACTTGTATTTTTATTATTTTTATTCCACTACCACCGCTACGTCGCGTTAAACAGATATAGGATAAGGGATAATCTTCGAATTTTTACGAACACTTTCATCCGAAGAATCAGTAACGTGAATACGGTGGAAAAAATGCCGTGGACGGGATCGTGTGAAACACTGACAGTTGCTCGAACATTGTATGGGGTAGGCGAGAACCCCAGAGAAACTATAAATTCGGTATAACGTACTAGGTATATACACATACATTTGTTATTATTATCCCGAAACATCAGCTGTCGTATAAAATAGCTCACTGAGTTCACAATAATAGGCGTGTCCATAGCCAAATAACAGCAGTAATTAAAGGCGTACAATGCATGGGTATGCCATTATTTTACTCGTGCCATATAATTATAACACGTTGTTTGTATGAAGCTGATAGGTCGTGGTTATCAAAATGAATCAAAATTTAAAAAATATATAGATCTCTGTGAGATTTCAGTAGTTATAAAGCGACATCAATTCATTATTACTATGCATATTATAATGCCTATATTTCTTTGTACACAATCTCCGCAATCTCATCAGCTGATTGACCGAGAATCAGAATTACAACTTCAATATTTTTCATAATACTCAATAGTAGTTACAGATTCGACTTATAAAATTTTTTAGATGAATTAAAAAAAAACTCGAATAAAAAAAATGTAATATATGAGAGATACACGACTAATAGTTTACTATTATTCTAATTCATATTCTAAAATTAATACTTGTCATTAATAAGCATACATGAAATATCTTTTTGGTCACTTTTTCGTTGGCGAAACCTGCAAATTTAATTTGATTCAATAGCTATTCGTTTTTAAAAGTGTTTGTGAACTTAGTTAATTCTAGGATATTTTCAAAAAGTTATGCTGGCTCAGGTCCAGGAAATTGTTCTAAACCTTACTATTGATGATACTAAATACATATTAAACATTTGATGTATGTAAATATAATATATATATATATTAAATGTTCTTAAAATAATTAAATTTACTTAATATATAATATACAAACAAAATTCAAAATTCAAAATAAATATAAAAACTGACTGAAAAATTAAAAGGTTGTAATCGATATAGTTGTATACCACACAAATAATACAATATTAATCATTGAATGCTTAAATATATATATTTTTTAAATTAATTTTCAATTAAAGTTCTCTTTTAACTTAACTTTTGAAAAATATTTTAACTTGCTTTAAAACTTTTAATTTGAAAAATATAATATCATATCAGTATTGATTTTTAACAAATATTGACACCTGCTTTTTCACTATATCAAATTTTTTTTTATAAAAATTGGTATCAACTCTAAGTTTTAATATATTAACATAGTATTAAATATTAAATTTTTAAAATACAAATTGTCTTCAAATGTTGATGTAACCTATAAACATATTTTTAATACTCAGGGTATAATTATAATATTTAATCAGCAGAAACGCAAAGAAGTATATAAATTGTTTGTACATTTTTGAACTAAGTATTTTTTTTACTTATTCCACCAATAAATATTTTAAATAATTACTATTTATGAGCCATTAGTAGAAAATATTTAGATTAATGAATATCAGCCATAAAGTTTAAATATTCTCTTTGAGAATTTTAAATTCAAATTATATACCATCAGTTTGCCATTTAAAAATGTAAAGTCGTCTTAACTATTTACTATACAGAAAGAAAAAAATATTTTTAAAATTACATTAAATCATTTTGTTTTTATATATTCTAATTTGTTTTTCTACCAATACCAGGAATACCTAATGATATGAACATATAACTATTATATTATTTTATTTTTGACTGTTAAAAAGCTGAAAAATTACGACGACGAGTGTTGACACTGGACAAGCATGTGTGTTGTGAATTATACTGAAATACACATTGAGCTACTATGATTAACTCATATATAAGCTATGAATTATACGAAATAAATTAACTTGTGTATTATATTAGATCATGATTAACTTTATTCAAAATTATAAAATCATAAAGTAGACAAATATCATGGTAAGGATGTTTCTATAACGCAATGTGATTAAGTAGGTATATAGATTATAGAAGTTAATATATTTTGTGCGTTAAGTAACGTAGTATAAGGAAATTGTATGTCGTAGAGATCAAGTTTAGGAATAATTAAGAATACTGTACTTTACTCAAGTTATTATTTTAAATTTAATTAAATGTATGAAAAGCTATACCTTCTAAATATTTATTTAAAATAGTAAAACGTATACTTTAGGACTTATAATAGTCTTTCAGTTTATCAGAATACGCTTCTCTATGAATTATAATAATCAGATTTGTGTACGTCATTTGTATTCAAATCATGAACAAAATGATTGTTGACGCATGTTTACTGTATAGATAGTTAATTTATTATTAAAACATAGTTATTTCACTTTCTTGTATATATTTATAAAATAAATATAATACATAGGTACGTAATAATATGTAACCCTAATTATATGGACATGTATTTTTATGACAAAACCTAAAAATATTCATTTTAGTTTTAAAACTATATTTTACCGTGTAAATATGTGTAAATGTTAATTAATATAAATGACAATTATTGTAAAATATTATAAATGTATACAAATGTAAATACATATTATAATATGAGTCTTGTTAAATAATATTATTAAGTTGAGTTTTAAATAATATTTCCATGATATCAATATTCAATCTACCTATTTAAAAAATGAAGGACGAAGTAATTACATTGTATTCAAATATTTATATAAATATAAAAATAAAGGCATTTAAAGTATGAGCTTGAATTAATATGAGCATAACTAAAAATATCACGCTTACATAGCGAAAAAAAATAAAATGTTGTGGGTCGACTAAATAAACACTGGTTAGGAAATGATTTTTGAAATGAAACACATTGTGTTAAATCGAGAACGAAAGGACTAAACTATTCCTGATGACATACTCGTTTAACAATATTTTATAAATATGATACCAGCTATTGTTATACCTATGATGACAATAATAATTGACACGCCTAATAGATTAATTTATCTTAGATTAAGATCATCTTATTTCTGTATTCAATAGATGAACAAGGAAATTAATATTTATGAATAAACGTTGCAAAAGCAACGAGGCAGTGTTGAATC